ACAACACCAACACAGAAAAATTCATATCACTAGAACACATTGGTATTGAAGGAACTAGATACTGTTCCGAATATCACTTACTCGAACCGTCCTGACCGCGTAGCTCAGTTGGAAGAGCATTGGGCTAGTATTCCAAAGGTCGTAGGTTCGAATCCCAACGTGGCCGGGCATATTTTTCAGGCTCGCCCGGTGCGGATATGCACTCAGACTAACATCACAAACATATTATTCACCTGAGTACACAACACCAGCACAGAAAAAAAATTCATATTACAAGAACACATTGGTATTGAAGGAACTAGATACTGTTCCGAAATATCACTTACTCGAACCGTCCTGACCGCGTAGCTCAGTTGGAAGAGCATTGGGCTAGTATTCTAAAGGTCGTAGGTTCGAATCCCACCGTGGCCGGGCATATTTTTCAAGCTCGCCCGGTGTGGATATGCACTCAGAGTAACATCACAAACATATTATTCACCTGAGTACACAACACCAGCACAGAAAAAAATTCATATTACAAGAACACATTGGTATTGAAGGAACTAGATACTGTTCCAAAATATCACTTACTCGAACCGTCCTGACTGTGTAGCTCAGTTGGAAGAGCATTGGGCTAGTATTCCAAAGGTCGTAGGTTCGAATCCCACCGTGGCCGGGTATATTTTTCAAGCTCGCCCGGTGTGGATATGCACTCAGAGTAACATCACAAACATATATTATTCACCTGAGTACACAACACCAGCACAGAAAAAATTCATATTACAAGAACACATTGGTATTGAAGGAACTAGATACTGTTCCGAAATATCACTTACTCGAACTGTCCTGACCGCGTAGCTCAGTTGGAAGAGCATTGGGCTAGTATTCCAAAGGTCGTAGGTTCGAATCCCACCGTGGCTGGGCATATTTTTCAAGCTCGCCCGGTGTGGATATGCACTCAGAGTAACATCACAAACATATTATCCACCTGAGTACACAACACCAGCACAGAAAAATTCATATTACAAGAACACATTGGTACTGAAGGAACTAGATACTGTTCCGAAATATCACTTACTCGAACCGTCCTGACCGCGCAGCTCAGTTGGAAGAGCATTGGGCTAGTATTCCAAAGGTCGTAGGTTCGAATCCCACCGTGGCCGGGCATATTTTTCAAGCTCGCCCGGTGTGGATATGCACTCAGAGTAACATCGCAAACATATTATTCACCTGAGTACACAACACCAGCACAGAAAAAAATTCATATTACAAGAACACATTGGTATTGAAGGAACTAGATACTGTTCCGAAATATCACCTACTCGAACCGTCCTGACCGCGTAGCTCAGTTGGAAGAGCATTGGGCTAGTATTCCAAAGGTCGTAGGTTCGAATCCCACCGTGGCCGGGCATATTTTTTCAAGCTCGCCCGGTGTGGATATGCACTCAGAGTAACATCACAAACATATTATTCACCTGAGTACACAACACCAGCACAGAAAAAAAAATTCATATTACAAGAACACATTGGTATTGAAGGAACTAGATACTGTTCCGAAATATCACTTACTCGAACCGTCCTGACCGCGTAGCTCAGCTGGAAGAGCATTGGGCTAGTATTCCGAAGGTCGTAGGTTCGAATCCCACCGTGGCCGGGCATATTTTTCAAGCTCGCCCGGTGTGGATATGCACTCAGAGTAACATCACAAACATATTATTCACCTGAGTACACAACACCAGCACAGAAAAAAAAATCATATTACAAGAACATATTGGTATTGAAGGAACTAGATACTGTTCCGAAATATCACTTACTCGAACCGTCCTGACCGCGTAGCTCAGTTGGAAGAGCATTGGGCTAGTATTCCAAAGGTCGTAGGTTCGAATCCCACCGTGGCCGGGCATATTTTTCAAGCTCGCCCGGTGTGGATATGCACTCAGAGTAACATCACAAACATATTATTCACCTGAGTACACAACACCAGCACAGAAAATTCATATTACTAGAACACATTGGTATTGAAGGAACTAGATACTGTTCCGAAATATCACTTACTCGAACCGTCCTGACCGCGTAGCTCAGTTGGAAGAGCATTGGGCTAGTATTCCAAAGGTCGTAGGTTCGAATCCCACCGTGGCCGGGCATATTTTCAAGCTCGCCCGGTGTGGATATGCACTCAGAGTAACATCACAAAACATATTATTCACCTGAGTACACAACACCAGCACAGAAAAAAAATTCATATTACAAGAACACATTGGTATTGAAGGAACTAGATACTGTTCCGAAATATCACTTACTCGAACTGTCCTGACCGCGTAGCTCAGTTGGAAGAGCATTGGGCTGGTATTCCAAAGGTCGTAGGTTCGAATCCCACCGTGGCCGGGCATATTTTTCAAGCTCGCCCGGTGTGGATATGCACTCAGAGTAACATCGCAAACATAACTTTCGTATTGTTGGTTTTCTCTTTTTCGTCCGTATACCAGTCGATTTGTCTCACTTTTCTCTTTATTTTGTTTGTAGTTTGAGCCCAAAATATTATATTTTGAAGGTTTTAATGTGCAATTTTAATAAGCGAAATTGTATTGTTTACAAATCGCTCAAAATTATTAAACTAATTAAAATGCAGTCCGTTTGATCCTTGATAACTTCGGAATTGTTGGTTTTCTCGTTTTCGGCCGTATGCCAGTGGATTCGTCTCACTTTTCTCCTCATTTTGATAGTATTTTGAGCCCAAAATATTTTATTTTGAAGGCTTTAAAACGCAGTTTTGATCCTAACGTACGGACAAACTGGCGGCCGACAGGAGAATGTATAGCGTGCTAAATAAAATAGGTACGCGACGCGTACATGTATCTGCGAAAAAACTTGATCACATTTTGTATTTTCTTGCAAGAAACTGAATAATGAAGATGACATGGGACAATTGAAATATTTCATCACTTATTATAATGGCAGATAAGATTTAAAACAGGGCTGTACACAGCGGGGAGTGCAGCAGGGCAAGTGCTACCCCCCCCCCCGCACCGAGAAAATTTAACTAACTTTATAATGTGATTATGATTGTAACAGATAAAGTCAGGAAATAAAAATTTCATGCAAACCATATTCAAAGTGTCTATACAGCCGGCTATTTAGTAAACTGTCACCTGTCAATTCAATTCATACTCATCAAATTTTCAAAACTTTATTGTAATCATATGAAGCAAAAGTTATGTCACTTGTTGTTTACACTTGCCAATGTTAACTGTTGAGTAACATACACAAAATATTTGGTGAACATGTCGAAGATCACTGAATAATTGAGGATGTTTTGAAGGTCATGAGTGAAGTATATAATTAAATTCCAGTTCTGTGCACAGTTAATGATATACCACACTGTTCGGTTTAACACGTACAGCACATTCACACAAAAACAATCGTGTTGTGGGAGATTATCGGTTTGAGTAGAAGGTATCACAAGTTTAGTTTTGTACATTGTGTGCCATTGATCAAATCCACCATATAATATATGATTACTCATTGTAGCTGTTAAGTTATTTTCCATACCAATGAATTTAGGGCATGTAGTAAAACACTGACTACCGGGAACACCACCGGAACACCGCCAGAACACCACCGGAACACCACCTAACCCTAACCCCCAACCTAACCCAAACAAAATGGTGGTGTTCCGGTAGTCAGTGTTTTACTACATGCCTGAATTTAGGTAAGATTGTCTTGCAAGTTGGTTGTTCTGACAAAATTATCCAGCCAATATCCAGTACATTTATTCTTCATTCTTGTATTAATCTCTACAGAAAAATATTTATGTTAGAAAGCAAAATGACAATGTAATGAGGCTCGGGAGGGTGAGGATTCTTTTATTTGAAAATGTTTGTCAAAATTTTGTTTAATTATTAACTCTAATGTGTAAAACCAAAATGTATAAGTATTTTAACTGATAACATCTTCAACCTTTGCTCTAACACTACATTTGATGACAGCTTTATAGTTGGACTGTTGTTTTGAACAGAGTTATGGAGTCAATATACAGAAATACAGGACCAGGATTTAATTCAATATCTCCTGAGAACTGTCCAATAGGTTCCTTTGATATTGTTAACTGGCAATATTGCCTGCTATGTTTTCACTGTTTAGAATATTACAGAAGTCACAGAAGGATTGTTTTTAATACTGCATAAATCTTTTTGTGAACTATGTTGACAAATCATCGAAAATATCCAATATTTTATACAGTGTATTATATTAATAAAAAATTCCAGAGTGCATTCCATGTAAACTCTACACCGAAGATACGGCAATATTAACTATAAATAGTATAGTAAATAATATTTGCCGAACTGGCGAACTCATGTATTAATATAAAATATGTGCGACATATATTTGCACAAATTTGGTATTTAAATATATAATATGTGGTATTTGGCTACTTACCAGATGAGGATAAGATTCCGACATATATTTGCACAAATTTGGTATTTAAATATATAATATGTGGTATTTGGCTACTTACCAGATGAGGATAAGATTCCATGTTGATAAATAACTTCGGAATAATATCGCAAGTAGAATGCCGATTCAAGATAAATTGATAAAAATATCAAGATATTTTTGAAAGAATATAAACACGATTTATACACGAGGCCTGACGAGGCTAAAGTATGCCCGTTCGCAGGTTACATGCGGGCACGATGTAAACAATTGATGTAAACGAATCGCTGATTGGCTTAAATTGGCTTAAATTATATAAGCTCGTCGCTGAATGGCTATCTGCTAACATACGGTACGGTACGGTCACGGCACGTTTGCGATAGCATATATATCTGCTTCGCAGATACAAAAATATACGAAGTGACTATATGACCGGCAGCCGGTCACGGTTTATCAAATACTAAATGGCCGGCAGTCTAGTGACTATTGTTAAAGTTGAATTTTTATAAGATAAACCTATCCCCAACCCCAAACCCTTTTCTAACCCTAACCCCTAACCCTAACCTTTTGAGAGTTAGAAAAGCCGGGAAAAAAGTTTAAAAAATTTTAAGAAAAAACAATGCTAAGTCAGACAAAACACATCCCGACCCCGACTGCGTTTAACTTTCCGCACGCAGCGCCCTTGCCGTATGTGCTAATGGCAAGCTCGGTAAAAATTAACGCAAACAAAAGTTTTTATATTCAACTATAGTCACTACTGACTGCCGGAATTTAGTATTTGATAAACCGTGACCGGCTGCCGGTCATATAGTCACTTTGAAAAATATATCTCACTTGTTAATAGAATCCATTTGTTGTGTTTCTGAGTCTAGTAGATGCGATTGCTTTACGTTTTCGTCGTACTTGAACGGTCGTCAGTACTATGGCACTGGACGACATGGCCGTATAGGACATAAATAACTACAAGGCTAGCCACTTAGGGACCGTTCATTATTTATACCAGGGGTTGGTACCGAAGAGATTTGGGTTGGGTAATCAAATTTTTGACTGGCTCAAGGGTTGAGTAAAAAAATTAATGGCTGTTTGTCAGCTATAAAATAAAATAGAATAAGTCCAAAATTACCATGCATTGGAAAATATGAAGAGAAATGTGTACAATACATTCTG